GTCATATACACAAGACCTTTTCCACACAAATAATTATCTGGATGCAGAATAATAACTTTCTTCTTTTACCTCCTTTACTGGTTCACACTGGGAATTCTACATTTTATGATAGAGAAGTAATCTTGAATCTTTATGCTGTTACTCATATCCAAAGATGCCAGTGGGACACCTAAGAATTTTGGAGATGCATGCAGTTTTTCCCACCATCCACTTCTTAATGCAGCTGCTTTTGTTGCATCAGAGGCATTTCCTGAGGGACTCTTACCTTTGAGATTCTTCTTTTTAGGATGTATGATGGGCTGGAGAGGGAAAGACTTGAGAAAAGAGAGAGAGAGAGAGAGAGTGTGTGTGTGACCTGAAATTTAGCAACGTATATAAAATGGAACAGATCACAGTGCTGCATCTAAAGGCCAAAACAGAAAAGATTGGGAAGCTTTGCAATTAGAAGCAGAGTTAATTCAAGCACTAAAGGAGGTATGATTATCCTTGTACATGTTTCACAACTTTGAATGTTGTAAATCAGCTTGGTTTTGTTTGGTAACTGGTCACCAAGAGAAAACAGTAGGGTCCATTTGCATGTTGATTTTGTAGATGCAGCAGATGTGAAGACTACATCTATGGAATGAAAATATTTTGTCACCTAATTTGGAAGCTGCCTATCTTGTCCATTCTGGCCCTAAGACTTAGACAGTCTATCTAGCACTGCGCACCAGAAAGTTATATGAAATACAAATAGGATTATATTTAACATTTTTAATATTAACTAAGAACATTCTCTGCTCTTGGCCTTATCCTTCCAATACCAAGCCTGTATTATTAGAATACATACAGACGTACCATAATTAACTATCTATTCACCCTGGCTTTTCTCTTTAAGATCACCTCAGTTGTGAATCTTATCTGAGGATCTGAGATAAGCATACTATCCTTCCTCATATTTCAACTTTGCAGCAACTCAGCAGTTGGTCCAAGAGCACTGACTAAGCCTTGTGACTAAGTGTAAATTTGAATTTGGGTCTCCCCTAAGTCTGTCACACTAATGATTACACTCATCTACTTGTTGTTATAAACCTTGTAACCCTGAAGAACTGTGATTCTGAATGCATTTTCCAAAGCTTTATGTCATGTAAATGGTTTCACAGGGCAATGTGGCTGAACTCACAGAAGGAAAAATTCTTCCTGCTCTTTTATTTTACTTTATTATTTATTTTGTTTATATCCTGCTTCTCCCCCAATGAGCTCTAGGTGGCCTATGTGACTCTATGCCTTCTCTCACTCCTCACAACAATCCCTGTGAAGTAGGCCAGGCGGAGAGAGAGTGAGTAGCCCAAAGTCACTCACTGAGTTTCATGATTCAATGGGGACGTGAACTTGGATCAAATAAGTCTCAGTCCCACATACTAAACATTATACCACATTGGCCGTCAATGGCAGTTGATGCTTAACACTGGTTCACTGTGTTAACCCAGCCTTCTGAAGAGACTCTGGGGTCCTCCCTAAAGCTACAAATTACAAGACATTGTGCATCCATTCTATATTTTCTTCTTTAATTGATTTTATTTGTTAAAAATGCACACAGAAGAAGCTGCAGGGAAAAACACAGGAAACTACAAATTAAAGACTCATAAAATTCCATGAACCGGGCAGGGGAACTGCAGAATGAAGCGTCATCTGGAAGCACTATAGGGAGGTCAATGATGCTGCTCATGTGTCTTGATGTCACATTCACATCTGTACTACCTGCTATTCTTTTTGCAATCATATTTGCACAAATTAAACAATGAGGGCAACATAAAGGAGCAAATTTTTCTTAGAACCAAATAATTTCAGTCAGTAACATGCAGGATGGTTACTGGTCCAGGGGAAAGATTTTTAAAAACCCCACATTAAATACATCTGAAGAGAAATAACAACAAAGCTGTACTTTCATCATATTTCAGACACACCACGAAGTACAATATGTGTGTTTGTAACCTGAGTAGTTAGTTATCTTCTGTCTAGAAAACTTCAGAACTGGGGACACTTCCTGCTGATTTCTTTACCCATAGTACTCAAGAAGTAGGAGAGACTATTGGTTTGTAGTTTAATATGAGCCTACTTAATTTGCATTTTCTAACTTGATACACAAAGTGGAGCACATTGTTTAGGTTTTGCACTTCTGTAAATGTTGCAAGACAGCAGGAATGGAGCCAATCTATCTTCTGGAAGAAAGTTTCACAGCCTGGAAGCAGCCACCAAAAAGGCCCTTTTTTGTTTAAAGCTGCTCCTGTCATTATAATTGTCTGGTAGGGGAGAGGATGGATGTGGTGTCATGGTAGCACAATGTTGGGAGTTGGGCACTTTGCTTCCTCAAGCAATGGGAGAGCTCAGGGTCTGTACACAGCCCCAGTCGCCCTTGTCCTAGTTCTACATGGGGGACAAAGCTGTACCCACCAGCAAATGGTGATGGTACTGAACTTGAGTCCTCAACACAACATCTGCCATCAGAAAGGGTTGAAGTCACTGCAAAACAATGCCTGGAAGTCATATCTCAGACAGGTAGCTCCTGGTGGGTACCATGGCTAATGGAACCAAAAGCTACCAAGGTGTACTGCAGAACCAACAGGGACACACTCTCCCTATTCAGTAGCTGGACTAACATGACCAGTCTCCATTCCATAAAATGGGCTGAACCCAGATTAAAATGGATCTAGGTGTTCTGTCTTATAAAGGAAATCCTGAATGGGCTGAACCCAGATTAAAATGGATCTTATAAAGGAAATCATATATCAGAAAAGCTACCACATGCTGTAATATTTTGCCAAAGTATAGAATATAGAGATTTGCCATTGATTATGCAATGTATTGAGAAATGGCACAAAGGTTTTTTCAGCACATCTCTTTTTTTAGTTGGACTGAAATCCTGCCTTGTTATAGAGAACGGTTGCTATTGGTTGTTTTGGGTTTTTTGGGCTCTTTGGCTGTGTTCTGAAGGTTGTTCTTCCTGACGTTTCGCCAGTCTCTGGCCGGCATCTTCAGAGGACAGCAACCTGTACTCTGGTGTAGTTGGCTTGGGAGTGCAGTATTTATGGCTGTGAGATAGGCTTTTGTCTTTTCCTGTAGATGGGTGATTAGTGTGTATTGTTGTGGGTGTATTGTTGTGCTAAGGGGAAGAGATTATCTGTTCCTGTGGTTGATGGGTGTCATTAGCTGGTCTTTTGTGTGTAGTGATCCCCTGTCCTTGTGGGTGGGTAGAGTTCGTTGACCTTTTGCACGTAGTATGTTTGATAGCTGGGAGCCAAGTTTTGTTGAGCTTCATACTTTCCTCTTTTTTGTTGAAACTGTGCTTGTGCTTGTGGATTTCAATGGCTTCCCTGTGCAGTCTGACGTAATGATTGCTGGTGTTGTCCAGTATTTCAGTATTTTGAAATAGAATTTCATGTCCAGTTTGTTTCAGGGCATGTTCAGCTACTGCAGATTTTTCTGGTTGTTTTAGTCTGCAGTGTCTCTCATGTTCTTTGATTCTAGTGTGGATGCTTCATTTTGTGCTTCCAATATATACCTGGCCACAACTGCAAGGTATCCGGTATACTCCTGCGGTGGTGAGGGGGTCCTTTCTGTCCTTTGCTGACCGTAACATTTGTTGTATTTTTGTGGTGGTCTTGAATACTGTTTGTAGGTTGTGTTTTTTCAAAAGTTTCCCCATGCGGTCAGTGACCCCTTTGATATATGGCAGAAATACTTTATTTGTGGATGGCTGTTTTTCTTCTTCCGTTCAGTGTTGTTTTCTAGGTTTGATGGCTCTTGTGATTTCATTTTTTGAGTAGCCATTTGCCTGTAGGGCCCAATTCAGATGGTTGAGTTCAGTGCTGAGAAACTGAGCTTCACAGTTCCGATTTGCCCAGCCTACCAGTGTTTTGATTATGCCTCTTTTTTGCTGTGGGTGGTGGTTGGAGTTAATATGTTTCCTTTCAAGATTAAACGGTGTTAATGGGAACACATGATTACGTCTCATTTCTCACCACAGACAATGAAATTTTCTCTGAGATATATGCTTCAGAAAAAAAAACATTTGTAAATTAAGTCAATGTTTACCTTCCAGTGACCAATCACAAAGCAAAGCACATTCAGGCTTGCATCCTGCTGGTGTTTCAGTTGCCATCCATCCATCCATCTGCCCAACTAGCACCAAAGCTACTATGGGTGGCAGACACAACAAACATAACAATAATAGAGCAAACAATCTAAAAATCGAAAGGAAAGAAATACATAGCTTTCTGTTTTCCCAAAATTACCATGGGATCATTGTAGTTGGTGGATATAGTGGAAACATTAGGAGTAAGTTTTGGTAGAGACTTACTAGAAGATAAGGTTTGGAAGTTTGGATGTGATTAGCAGTCATATGAGAGAACACATTGAATATACTGCCCAGAAGAAACAGAAAGCCACCAGTTTCTCAGTTTTAGTCCCTCCCTTCATCTACAATATAGAATTACAGCAATATAATAAGAAATCTGCAAACTCTAGCTTATCGGTTTGCTATAAACATTAGAAAGTATGCAAAATGTGTTGAATGTTAGAGTGCAATTTAAATGATAAGTATTTCAGCAGCGATGTGATTCAGCAAAATTGAGCGCATACAACTTTGGGTTAGATTACTACTAATACTGTCTTAAGCCCATTATAATTGTAAAACAAACCTTTTCTGTTTTTTGTTTTTTAAAAGGCTGCCATTCCATACCTGCTCACCTGGGAGTAAGCCTAATTGAACTTAGTGGGATTTTTTTCCTCTGAGTAAAGATGTAAACCGTTTCAGACCGAACATTAAGATAGGCTCTTGTTTTGAAGATGTTACCTGATAATGTAGAGTTGGGGAGTGTGTGGCCCTTCCAGATGTTAGAATGCACTTTCCATTGGCCCTAAGCAGCATAGGCCATAGGAAGTTGCAGTCAAAAAGCATCTGGAGGACCACATGGTCTCCAGACCTGCTACAGCACCTTGATATCTTTCTGCATCTCTAGGTGCCTTCTTCATCCCTTACCTCATCTTCCTTTTCACCTGTGGGATTCCAGTGTTCTTCCTGGAGACAGCACTTGGGCAGTACACAAGCCAAGGAGGGGTGACTGCCTGGAGGAGACTTTGCCCTCTCTTTGAAGGTGAGTTGGATGCAATGGCCAATTTGTGAGCCAGAAAACGTTGGGCCACATTTTTAATCATTTAAACTTACTATTTGATGGAGTTGGGGGCTCCACTCTCACTCTTCAGGATCAAAGAACATATGATATTCAATGTGCATGACTATTTGATGGAGTTGGGGGCTCCACTCTCCCTCTTCAGGATCAAAGAACATATGATGTTCAATGTGCATTTAATGTGCCTGAATTTTGTTCTGTAAATAGTACCTGCATGGACTTCACCTGGGGTTTGGATTTGATAATGATAAGTAATCTGGGGGGAGGGTGAAGTCTTACTTCCTGTACTGCAGGGAAGATAAACAGTTTCCCTCCCCAATACTGTATTAGCTGGAGATGGACTGTTTCTATGGGTGCCATTCTTCTATCTGAGGTTCCATTTGTTAATATTGTTTTTGTTGCTTCCTTTAATTTGCCCTTACGTGTTTTCATGTGGTGTGTTTTTTATAATCATTATTTGCTTTCATAAAACTTTAATGAGTTGCCTCGAAAGTGTTTAATTATAAGACATAAAGATATAATTTTTAAAAAATGCAAACTGCAAGATAAGGTAAAGGTTCCCCTGGACATTTAGTCCAGTTGTGTCCGACTTTAGGGTGCGGTGCTCATCCCCGTCTCCAAGCCATAGAGTCAGCCTTTGTCCGTAGACAGTTTCTGTGGTCACGTGGCTAGTGTGACTAGACACAGAATGTGGTTACCTTCCCACCAAGGTGGTCCCTATTTATCTACTTGCATTTACATGCTTTCGAACCGCTAGGTTGGCGGGAGCTGGGACAAGTGACGGGCGCTCACTCTGTCACGTGGATTCGATCTTACGACTGCTGGGCTTCAGAGGCATCAGCAGTTTAACCCGTAGCACCACCATGTCCCTTAAACTGCAAGATACATTAGTGCAATTTTCTCCAACTTGGTGACCCCCCAGTTGAGAAATAGGAAAGAAATTTTGGGTTGCACATTTCCCTGTGAAAATATTCCATATGGACCTCCTAAAATTAAAGTAGAGCAAAGCATCGGCTGCTTTCAGAAGCCATACCTTGTTGAAGTTTCTGATGATGTACAAAACTATGCATATACTTAAAAAAAGAGGAACAAATGCTCCTTAGACGATGAGAAGAGGTGTAAACATCCGTACCTTAGGGGAAATGTGAACAAATAATGCTTACTTTAGGAAAAATAAGACAAACATCTATGCATACAGAACTGAGATGAGATGAAAATACAAGTGAGATCCTGAGAAATGCAACAAACATAAGACTGACAGATTTTCACATGCCTCTTCCACTTTTACAACCCCCATTTTTTTACAGTTGGAGGGTTTCAAGGTAGGGAAAACAGAGTGTGCTTCTTAGTCCTTAATAGGCTGGGAACATCCATGTATGAATAGTGATTACATTTAGATCATTGGTTCCCAACCTTACGTTCCCAGATATTCTTGGACTACAACTCCCAAAAATCCTGGCCAGAACAACTAGTGATGAAGGCTTCTGGGAGTTTTAGTCCAAGAACATTGGGGAACCCAGGGCTACATGGATAAATGTCCCAGATGATCCACCGTAAGGCAGTTTTCTAGTGGCAAAGGCTAATGGGACATTTAGTCCAAGAGCATCTGGTGAACCAAGGTTGGGAACCACTGGCTTAGATGAATCTCTGGGAGATGAAAAGAAGATATTGACACAAGGCGTTGGTGCTATAGGCTTGGATTCGGAGGCATACCCACTGGAACACCCAATGTTCCAAGTTATGGAATGAAAAAAGCATAATTGTTTTAAAGTTAATTCATAAGCAAATTTCTGTATATAAGGGTGGGCAATGATAGTGTGAGAAAAGATTTGTAAAGCCAGGACATTGATCTTCAAAGTTGGTTTAAGTCTATTTTGTCATGCATCACTCAGGCATAAAAATGATAGGTATTTCTAATAGATACTAGTGACAACACTGAAACTGATCTGGAGGAGGAATCTGAATGATTATATGGGGGCAGCATGGTGTTTAAATAAAAGAGGAGAAAAATCTATGTTACCAATTGGGTAACATTTGAAATAAATTAAAGCACAGAGATCTTAATCGCATTTCGACATTCCCCATACCCATAAAGCCCACCTACATAATGTTATCTGGATTCAACAAAGCTGAACAGTTATAATTCCACAGGAAGCAGAATATTACTCCTTGCCCCCTTCATATAAACTGAAATTCTCATCCAGTTGTATCTAAAATCAGTCATGAGGGATGGTTGAAATCCCCATAAGACGTTCTATATATATATTTTAAATGTAATGGAGATGAAAAGAAAGTTAAAGGTCTGTGACAGAATGGAGAGAACATTTTCTAGACTGATTACAGGAACAGGTCTTCAAGGCCGAAGATTACAGTATGAATGAATTCAGTCCAAGGCAACATGAGCTGAATACGAATCACTCCTCCTTTTTTCTGTCCTAGTATTTGGATTCTTTCAAAATTCACTTTCAAATCTAATTTTTACTACTCGAGTTTTTATGCTGTCATTAAATCACATGATCCACATTCTGGCTAGGGTGAGAATCATCAGACAAGACGTCACACATAAGGAACATTTTGGAAAAGGGTCTTTGAAAATAAGGGATCTATATTGGCCCAAATCCTGTTGCTTAGTGTAATAAATTGCACTAGAGTAGTCCCATTGAATCGATAGGGACTTGGTGAGTCAATTCCTCCTAATTTCCATTGTTTCAAATGGGCCTACTCTAACTGCAACTTACTACCCTAAAGTAAGGTGCAGTTAGAGTAGGCTCATTTGAATCAGTGGAGCTTACAGAGGGGTATGCCCAACAAATCCCCACTCTAGTGTGATTTATTATGCTAAGCAATAGGATTTAGGCCAGTATGAACTAGAGAAATGTATGAAGTAATGAAGGAAGTTTGTGTGTGAGAGGGGAGTAATTCTTTCTTTTTTTGTAAACAGTGATAAGGTTCTAGAAGAAAAAACATGGAAAATATAATAGAAAATCTTTGAATTGGAGAGAGAATCGGGGGGGGAACTAGAAGGTAGTGGAGTGAGAACTAAGAGGACATGATGAAGAAAAACAAACAAGTAGTGAGGAAAATCTCTAGTGGTTTTTCTGTTGTAAGAGTCTGGGCTTGAAAAGTGTAATGATTTTACAAGTAGGCCCTGCTTCAAATACTTCTGAGAACAACTGCTTTAGTGTAAGAACTAATGTTTAAGATGTTCACTGTGGATTTCTCTCTCTCTCTCTTTTGGCAGGAATTGGTTATGCTTCCCAGGTGATTCTTGTACTCCTTAATTTCTATTATATTATAGTTCTGGCTTGGGCCTTGTTTTACCTCTTCAACTCATTCACCGTAGATCTACCATGGGGCAGCTGTGACCATGAGTGGAACACAGGTATTCCAGAATACATCCCATGTCTATATGCATTTTGTCTAGTGTTAGTTTGCACTGAGCCATTGTCCGGCAGCGATAGCTATCTTTATTATTGCCATTTCTCTTAAGGCATCCTCGCTTTCAAACTCTGCACCCAGATAAATCTGATTAACCATTTTCCTATGCTCCTCCTATCTCACCTGGATGTTATATGTTTGGTAATAAACCTCCCCCACCTCCCTAAAAAAGCTAGTATGTGCTCTTACAAGAATGCTATGTTGCCTTGTGTTCACCCATGATGCCAGGACCATTAACATTGCAATAGATATTAATGCGGTGGCCAGACTCCTAAGCGGAGTGAGAAACTACGAGCATATCTCTCCTACTCTGGCCGCTCTGCATTGGCTGCCCATTCGATTCCGCATCAACTTCAAAGTTTTAATGCTTACTTATAAGGCCCTAAACAGTTTAGGACCTTGATATCTGGCAGAACGCCTACTCCCACCAAGGTCTACCTGGATCACCCGTGCAAGTCAGGAGGTGAGGCTGAGGAGCCGGACGCCGAGAGAGGCCCAGAAGGAAAAGACATGAAATCGGGCCTTCTCGGCAGTGGCTCCTCGCCTCTGGAACAACCTCCCTCCGGAGATTCGCACGGCCCCTACGCTGGGTATCTTCAAAAGACAATTAAAAACATGGATGTTTATTCAGGCCTTCCCTCCAGTCAATACTTGATTCTTTCCCTCATTTTTCTCTATTTATTTCCCCCTCTTTCTGGTTTGTAATTGTTATTTGAAGTTTTATGTAATTTTACTGTTATTTTTTTACTTGTTCGTGTTATACTGGAAGCTGCCTAGAGTGGTCGTATAGACCAGATGGGCGGGATATAATTCAAACAAACAAACAAACAAAGAAATCCAGTTGAGCGCTAGCCATTTGCAGCACTGGCCAGTAGGGGAGAAACAATCCAAAAATAGCAGTGGTCTTCAGCTATTCATGACTCCTGGAGCAAAAATGGGAAACCAAACTTGTTGCCTAGGATAGACCCTGTCTCACTCTTTTAATGTACAAAAAGTAACTGGATTCCCAGTCAGCTCCATCAACTTCACTCCAAGCATGATCCTGCACAGATCTGATGAAAAATCATTTGTCAGCAGTGAGCAACCTGCAGCTGTAGGACTAATGTCCTGCAGCCCTTGTCTTAAATCAACAGCTCTTAACAAGTGATTGGTTTAGATATTTGTCAGAGTTACTTGTTCCTTTCCATGCCTGCTGGCTGCTGCCTATGGGTGGAGCATAGCCAAAAGAGAGGGAAAGGGGATTGGCATAAAAATAACCACTTGATAGATCCTGAATAGGTTGTGCCAGGAACTGTTTGAAAATTCTTCCTGCTGCACATTTGGGATTTGCCATTGTGCCACTGATCTTTCTTGATGAAAGTGAATTAGCTTCATGTTTACATGTTCCTTCCGTATCAGTTCTAAAATCGGTGTGACTTGTATTACAGAGAACTGTGTAGAATTTCAGAAGACAAACACTTCTCTAAACGAGACGGCGGAAAATGCTACCTCTCCTGTCATTGAGTTCTGGGAGTAAGTGGATTTTTTTCTTTACTTTTCTCTGGAACATTCAGTATTGCTACAAATGGCCAATAGCCCCAGAAGGGGTCTTTTCTAAGGGACGTGATGAAATTGATTCCGCCTATTACTAGCCCCTTGCATCTCAGCTTTTTTGGAAAGACCTTCATGCCCAAGGCAAGGGTGAGCAGCTGCCATAGAGTGGAGAACACTGGCCTAGTGGTCTGATGGGCTGAGAGCTTTTTTATATTGATGAGAGAGGAACAAATTGCTATGGCAAGAAGGTGGGTTGTGTATTTCTTCTCAGCAAAAGCTAGTTGGGGAATATTCTAAATAGTTTATCCCTGGCAAATGGTATAGTCACCTGGGTGCCTGTGTGTAGGTAAGGAAGCAGTTTCAGGCAGACTGGAAACAGATAGTAAGGTGATGGACAGTGGGAACTATAAGGTGATTTCTGATAGGTGGAAGGTGGGGAGGAGGAATTGGGTGATAGGGAAGAGCGAAATGTGCCTAAGTGGGAATAAAGATAGTTACTTCTTCAAGTTTGAAAAAGTTGCTTTTTTGGACTTTGTTGTTGTTTAGTCGTTAAGTCGTGTCCGACTCTTCGTGACCCCATGGACCAGAGCACGCCAGGCCCTCCTGTCTTCCACTGCCTCCCGGAGTTGGGTCAAATTCATGTTGGTAGCTTCGATGACACCGTCCAAACATCTCGTCCTCTGTCGTCCCTTTCTCCTCCTGCCTTCACACTTTCCTAACATCAGGGACTTTTCCAGGCAGTCTTCTCTTCTCATGAGATGGCCAAAGTATTGGAGCCTCAGCTTCAGGATCTGTCCTTCCAGTGAGCACTCAGGGCTGATTTCCTTCAAGAATGGATAGGTTTGATCTCCTTGCAGTCCAGGGGACTCTCAAGAGCCTCCTCTAGCACCACAGTTCAAAAGCATAAGTTCTTCAGTGGTCAGCCTTCTTTACAGTCCAGCTCTCACTTCCATACATCACTACTGGAAAAACCAGTAATGGTTTTTTGGACTACAACTCCCTAAATCCTACAGCTAGCATGGCTAATGACTTAAGTAACCCCAAGTAACTTCCCCAAGTTCTGTTTCCAATATGTGGTATGTTGCTTTCTTTTTTGGGGGTGGGGTGGGGTGGGAGGTATTACTCCAGAGTAAGTGCAGGAGTTCCCAAGCTTGGGTCTCCAGATGTTCTTGGACTAAAGCTCCCAGAATCCTTCACCACTAGCTGTGCTGGCTGAGATTTGTGGGACCCAAGTCTGGAAGCCACTGAAACACAGGCTCCTAATTGAAACTATGATAAGGTATGAAGGGGTGGCAGTGAAAATTCTTATTGTTCCCTCCCGAAGCATGACCTTCCCTGAAACTTCCCTGCAACTACAGTAGTGTAAAATGGTAAAAATGCAACCATTAACTATCACTTGAGAGAAGGAGATTATTGCTTGGGTGGGTGTAGGCAGAGAGGGAAGGATTGCCTCTCCACTCTTTATGTACTCTAGCCTCTGATTGACTGAGTCCCATACACAGGACTGTCTAAAGATATTTTGCTCCTTTTGTACTAAAAGACTAGCCTTGGGTTGAATTTTGTGACCTGGCAAACCATGTTATATTGTGAAATAGGGTATGTAGAAATAGTATGTTCTGGAGAAGTGGCCACCAGGGAGGAGCAGTGTTTACCAGAAAGAATAAGCCAAGCTCTGTTTCTTTCATAGGAGGAGAGTGTTGCACCTTTCTGATGGCATTGAACATCTGGGGGGCGTGAGCTGGGAGTTGGCGCTCTGCCTCCTACTTGCCTGGATCATCTGTTACTTCTGCATCTGGAAAGGAGTCAAATCTACAGGCAAGGTAAACTTTTTTCCCCCCAGAGTTCAAAAAGGTACACATTTTGCACTATAACTAATAACATACTAAACAAATGTAATTGAGTCTTCTGGAAACCAGCATGACTGGAATCCTGAACAGATGAAGGAGTAACAATACTTTTTAACAACATTTTGTGCAGACCTCTCTTCACTTTTATTTCATTAAAAAAAAAGCAACCGGTTAGTGCTGCTGAAGGCTCATTTGTCTCATTTGACCTTAATCACTGTCCCATGAAGCTGCTGTGTGTTCTACAGGAGAAAAGGTCCAGGTATCCCACAAGCAGCTCCATGTGAACCAAGGGCAGGAGAAAAAGCCAAGCCTGGATTGATCTCTTGCCTTTCGAAAAATGGCGACCCCAGCTGTGTGGTGGACCTATCCCCTTGCACGCTTCTACAGATACTGAAAACCCAGTGCCAAATTATGTGCATAGTGGCCAAAGTACCTGTACGCAAGGGTGATGTGGCTAAGAGCTAATATGACCGATGTATTGTTGCCCCTGCCTCTGCACCACGATGGTTAAGAGATGGTTTCTTAACTGTTTCATCTTGCCTGTCTCCTCCCCAGGTCACACAAATATGCTGTTGTCACTAGGTTTGCATGTGTCAGTGTGTTTGTAATACACTTTCTGAGCAATTTCCTCCCAGCTTTGGATTTAGAGCTCAGAAGAGATGGAAACAGGAAGTAGCTTTAGTAAATTGCTCAACTGCACTGCAGTTTATCCTGTGTGTGAGCTGGAGGTGTCAGAGTCAATTGTGAATTATTTTCCATCAGCCACATGAATTATTTTCCATCAGCCACATGGCTGCAAATATTTCCATTCCTTTTGCATGGCCGTTTATTACATTTTGTTTGGCTGGCAGGAGCTACTACCCCTTTCAGTGCCTTCAGTGTGGTGAGGTAAAGCAGTAGAATGGGAACACAATCTTCCAGTGAGCACCTCTTATCTTTCCTCAGAAGAAATTGTTTAATTTTTTAATGGTTCTGTCAAATGTAGCGCTGCATCAGTAAATACTGCCTTCATAATGGCTTTGCTGAATTCTTTTGTGGAAAGGGGGTAAAAATTATCATCTTTCAAATCTGTGTGGGGAGAAGTTTCTAATTTGCTGGATTGAAGAAGGAGGGGAGTGATCAGCACACGGACCTGTTGGGTCTTTGTCGTATATGTCTAATAATATCAAGGAAAGAATGGTTGTGGGAAGGGGAAACTGAAAAAACCATTAGTGTTTTCTTTTCTTTGATCTGTCATATACTGTACATAGAACCTACTCACCATGCTCCATTCTGCGCCTCTTAATTAACTAGAGAGGCTTTTCATACATAACCACCTTTCTCTCCTTCCTTTGTTCCTTCCTTCCTTCCTTTTAACTCATAGGCACAATTTGCAGATCAAAGTATTTCTTTCTCCTTTAGAATCCCGTTTTCCACCCATTTGTTGGGAAAACAAAAACATCTTGGCATGCTGGGATGAACTGCACCCCTCCCTGGCAATCACAAAGTACTGTTTCAAGACAAAAGAGCAATTATGAGCTCATCCTGATTCATATTGATATAATATTTCCAGGACGTGCTATGATCCTCACTGTAAACCATCCTATTCCCATCAGGCAGACTAGAATTTAGTTTGTTCTGCACTACGCTAAGACAAGTCATCATATCAAGTCAGCACTGTATCACCTATAAATTTTTTTCGTAAGGGTAAAAAGTCAACATGTAGGACAGATGAAAGCAAGAGATAAAGGGACGAGGTGAGGAAGAGGGCAATGTTAATAGGGTTGGAGGTTGTTATCCAGGTGAAAATTTTGCAGTGTAGATGCCTGCATTCAGACAATTAAATATTTCCATGTGAATGACAACAGTCATTTCAGCAGTGGAAATAGTGGTATAGAAAACATCAAATAAAACCAGGACAATCTCCCTGTGTAGTCGAGCTGTTAGTGAGAAAGCTATGTTTTCTTGATAGGGTACAAACAACAATATGGTTCTATCTTTCTTTTCTCCCTTAGATGGTCATGAAAAAACTCTTGAGCAGCAAAAAACCAAAATATTTAAATAACATGAAGTTCAATTCTCTTGGAGCAACAAATTTAGAAATTGCTACTGAGAAATAAGAAATTTTATCTTCTAATAGTATTTGGACAAGGTCTTCAGATAATGGTATTTCCAATAAATCAAATAAAGATTTAATAAAATGCCTTCTCACAGTTGCATGAAAAGGGCAGGAGAACAGAATATGTGAAAAAGGATCCAGACATGGACAAACTCTCTCAGAGTAAGTTTGCCCTAACAATTTTCCTTGTAGGGACAATATTCGGCCTTCCATATAGAAAAACTCTGCAGTAATGTGGAATAATTAGATGGAAAAAAATATGGCAGAATTGTCTTGGGAATAAAACTACCAAAAAAGAAGAGAGAACATACTTAACAAATATTTGGGTATTAATCAGATCTATTTGATGAATCTGCTTTCTTATATATATTGTCTTGATTCTCTTTCACCTTTGTGCCTAATTAATTCTTGCCCAGAGCATCTAACTCATTGTCTATTAGTTTCTGCCAGGAGGATCTAAAATAACCTTCCTATAGTAGGGCAAGAATGGAGTGCTCAGAAAAGATGAGCCTCAGCCTTAAATCAAAGGCCTGTTTCCATGTGCTCACCTTGATAGAAGGCTGGGCAAACTTGGCCTGCACAACAATATTTGCCACACATCATGAGATATTCATTAGCCTTCTTAAAAAGGAGGAGAGAGGGAATAGTCTGATTTCTCTGATACCCTAGTTATCCATACTGCAGTGCCATATAAAATCACCCAAACTACTTTGGCATTAAATGTTAATAATGCTCCTGGAACATAACAACTTATTTTTGTAATTTAAGTGTTACTTGAGTCAGCACTTTTGCTTTGCACAAATTACTGTCTTGCTGATGTTGCCAAAATAAATTTGAGGAAAAGATCACTCCTATGTAGGGAAAGTGTTTCACCTGTTCCAGCTGCCTACTGTCTAATTACCAGCTGAGTTTACATAGTTGGTTTTTCTTAGAGGAAGCTAAAATCTTCCATTTCTGATAGTTTATCTCTAGGCTATTCAGTTTACAATATTTGGGAAATGTCTGAAGGATTGTTTGAGACCAATTCTGGACAAAGGTTAAAGTGCTGCATCATCTGCAAAAAGAAGAATTGCTATACGTTGGGTCCACTTTGGAAGATGAGAAGATTAATCAAAGTAGAGGGCAAGATAAATTAAAAAGAAACTATACAGCAAGGGAGAAAGTAAACACCCTTGTCATATTCCTTTGTTTAAACTGAGTGGACTTGCAATTTCAATATGGTTCTTCAACTGAATGAGATCAGGGTGCATGGCAAAAAGTTCAGTGTTGTCCTTTACATACAAGAATATGGTACTCAGCCTGGATTATCCATGTAGTGCAGTGGTCACCAACCTTGGGCCTCCAGATGTTCTTGGACTACAACTCCCAGAAGCCTTCACCACCACATCTGCTGGTCAGGATTTCTGGGAGTTGAAGTCCAAGAACATCTGGAGGCCCAAGGTTGGGGACCACTGATGTAGTGGATAAACCAGGTTGGTAGCCAGGAGGTTTTTACCTAGTGATAATAATGAGGAGGAGGAGTTGGGTAAGAAGATACAAGGATTCTGTGGGATTAAGGGTGATAACAACAGTTTAGAGAGTGAACCTAACTACAAGATAAAGTGAACTCGCAGCCGCAGATGGTAGATACTGGAGAGTGGTTGCATTGCATCCTGGGGGCAGCTTGGTTTGCCTGTCCTGTCTCAGTTGTCTTGCCAGGTTACCTTCTCTAGAAGTAGGTTTGGACAGCTTTAAAAAGATCTGGAACTATTCTTTCCCCTTTGGACCTGTTACAGCCACACCATTCCCTCCTAGAATAAATGTGATTTAGAGTGTATAATAGATATATGTTGTGAAACCTATTATAGATTATGGCTGAAATCCTCTTGTTTTGTTACATACTACAAATGGCATAACTTTTGGAGATGAATTCCCTCTAGTTAAGAAATCACCACAAATATCTTCTGTTGGGCACTGAGCCATGCACCTCAGTACACAACAGATTATTTTTTGGTGATTTCTTAACTACAGTATTATTATTATTTAAAATATTTTTATCCCGCCTTTCTCCCACCTCCAAAAGTTACACAGTTTGCTTTTTGTCACTGTAACAAAACCAGCGGACTTTGACCTAAGTTTATGTGACAAGCCACACTTGCTTAAATCCACTGTTCTATGCCATTACTGCAGGTATTTTGTATATGTTGTCTTTGGGCTGGCAAAGCCATTTTAGTATTTTAGGTGGATTGGCATATGATGGGCATAACTATAAACTTATGATGCATACATCTCCAAGGTGGACCATAGTATTTGAGCACTAGAGGCAGAAACCCCTGCAAGCATCTCTCATGTTCTTGCTGCTAATAAAAATACAAAACAACCAATTAATAATTCACAAATTAATGTATTTTCATTACATCCTAAATCTACTGGCTGAGGCAGCTCTCTCAAAATGGCAAAAATCCTCTTTTGTAGCTATGCAAATAGCGTGACATTTGGAGACAGATTGCCCCAATCACTATGTCAGTTGCATGTTGACTCACACAATTTTGTGTAATGGACAATATGTAACTGACAGTGGTGATTTCTTCACTTGGAGCAATTTGCCTCTAAGTGTTATGCCATTAGGGCAACCCAATCCCATTAGAGATGAATGTGATGAATCAACCAGAGGCACTTCAAGTTAGACAGTAATTTCCCCAGAATTTGGAAAAGTTGCTTTTTAAAGGAACTATAACTTACAGAATCCACCAGTTAATATGACTAGTTCAATGAACTAATGTTTCCAACCTCTTTGCAAGGATCATTTCGTGCTATCAGTCTGTTTAAAATACTTACTGGAGCCGGTTGCATAGGAACTCCACACTACGTCAAAATTAAACAGGAAACTGCCTTA